TTAAAAATATATTTTTTAAATATTCCTTCTCAACATTTGTCAAAAAGTCTTTATCTCTAATTTTTAATCTATTCAATGTTAATGCATCTATAAATTTATGCCCTATCTTCTTTGGATCTTTCAAATGTAGTTGACTAAAAGTCTTTTCAATCTTCTCCTTACAATCTATTGGTAGTGGTAATACCATTGATTTAAATTTTTTCATCATGGTTTCATATTTAGTCTCCACCATTACTTCATATTTTTTTGTAAATTCTTTTATCACATCATAGAAGTCCTTGAATATATCTTCAATATCTTGTCATCACTCTTAAAATCCAAATCCAATAACAAATAAAAATCCTTTAAATCTTTAAAATTTCTAAATTTCTTGTGCAGTCTTGAAATAGAATTCTTCCTTAAATTCTTCCAATTCCTCTCATGATTTGTATAAACTATTAAAAATTAGATACCTTTCTTTCCATTCCAACTTCTAATTCTTGCATATACCAATCTATTCTCTACTATTTTTGTTTCCATCTGAGTAGCCATAATATGTGATTTTCTTGAAATGATAGGATGTGTAGATTTATCTTATATAAATAAATTTCGTTCATCACTAATATTTCCTATCATAACTTTCATATTTGGATATGCTTCATAGAAATTCTTTCTTGAATTATTTGTTGCTCAAATCAACCATCCATAATTAATATATATAGGCTATTTTTCTATTTCATATAAATTCTTTGACATCAAATTTATCTCTAAATCATGTTCAATTAATACCACAAGAAGTTCTTTAAGATTATTTAATTTTACTAATGTCTTTGTTGTTGTCTCTATCTAATAACTATAAGAGTGGTGACTAGATGCTTGAGCTTTGTCTTCTTTCATGACAAATCTTACATAAGAAACATCTCTATAAGCATAATTATTATCATCTTCATTTCTTATCACTTGTTTCTCACATGTATTTGAAGTCGTAGTCTCTTTCAAAATTTATCTTTTTTTCTTGATATCGTCAATAATAATCTCATGAAATTTTTGCTTTGCTATCCTAAAAACTTCTTCTAAGATAAATTCTACCTTTCCATTCAAATGCACTCCTCTAAAACCTTCATCATTTTTTTTTCTATTTCAATATCTAATTGCAACTTATTGGTTGGAGCCTTATCTTTTTCTTTCAAAGTAGATGGCTCATCTTTCAATGTTTCTTCTCTTGATGGAACCATTTTTTTAGATGCTCCTTCATTTTTCTTGTTTCTCTTCTGCTTCTCTTCTATTACCACATGAAAGGAGACTAAATTCTCTTAAAGATCTAATACCCTTCCAATCTATAGCAACCTAAATTCCATCACAAATTACAACATAAATTCCATCACAAATTACAACAAAATGGATAAAAAAATAAATAAATAGAAGTAAATAGAATAGAATATAAAAGAAAAAATAGAATAAAAAGAAATAGAAAAAAATAGAACAAAAAATCTAAAATAAATTTTATTGAAAGAAAGATATCAAAGCCATACCTGAATAAATGCTTCAAATGGCCTTAGTTAGTCTTATATATACTTTGTCCAATTATTTTGAAAATTTTTAGAATATTTTTAATAGTAGGCCCTACTAAAATAACTGCCTTTTTAGAAGATTTTAGAAGTGGATTCCACCTAGATAACCACCCTTAATTCTTCTAAGATGTTTCATAGTAGGTTCCATATAGACCACTAACTTAGCTCCAATTCTAAAAACTTTAGAAACTTCTCAAAAATGTTCTTAATTACTTATCTTTACACATCAATAATACAATTATCTTATCTATGCCATGTACACCACTTCATATTGACTCCTTGCAATATAAGCATGAACAAATAAAGTATCAATCAGATCATTCTAATTTTTAGTTTGACAAATAGACTTATCGGTACAAAATAATGCATTACTATTAAATTCCCTACTTTTGGCAAACTTCTTAATACTTGGCTATAATGTACTCACTTAATTTGATGCTTCAATCCTTAAACTTGCATGATTATGAGTAAAATGTTCCACACCAACATTATATGTTCTTGCTTCTATTGCATGAAACTTTGATGTGCCATCTATTAATACCTTCATTCTTTCTTTACTAAAATTTGTCTCCAATAGTGCTCCACTTTCTCTCAAATCAATTCTAACATCTTTGAAAAATTCTTTATCTTTCTTTAATATATCTTTAAAGTCTTTACATTTCTTTCATGAGTCATCAATGCTATTGCACCACATACAATGTAAAGGCATCATTCTTCCTAACAAATCTGATTTTTATTCCAATGATTGCTTTATTGAATTGTTTGTTTGTTTGTTTTTTTTTCTTTTTTCTTTTGTTTTGTTTTTTTTTCTTCTTCTTCTTCTTCTTAAGTTTAGCTAATTTAATATTCAATTCTTAAATATCCTTCACCAACTCATCTATTGTTGAATTATCAACATTACAAGGCAAAGAAGATGGCTTGGTATAAGAATGCATTGTTAGAAGCACCATGGTGTTGTGATGTGGGCAATTTAATAGTTAAATGATATTCATTCATGTGTATTGTGCTACCTTGACTATGTAATTAGGTTTTTGTTAGTCAATTATTGTTTTATTTCATATACTTGTTTAATTATTAATAAAAAACTGGCCATAAAATTGATAATATAGAAGACTAAAAAGATGAGGATAAAGATAAGATAGACCACATATGATGGATTTTCATCTTAGAGTCTTCTTGGTGACTTTTTGGAGAAGAGTAAGGATAGGAAGAATCACATATGGAAAAAAAAAAAAAAAAAAAAAAAAAAAAAAAGATTTAAGGGAGCCAAAAAGAAGTACAAAATAATTATTTTTTTATGGTTATTGAATCTTAGATTTTAATTGATAAAAAGATAAATTTTGGATCTTGGAAGAAAGTCTATTATAATTGATTAGAATCTTTGATTAAATTAATTTTTTAAGGTATTTTTTTACGACATCTATATTCACTTGTTTTCAAAGTATGAAGAAAAAAATTAATTGTATTAAAGAGAAACAAAGTGCTAAAGCAAAGGAGGTCTAGCAAGATTACAAGTTAAGGGTAGTAATTTTGAAGGGTCATAACTTGATATTTATAAGAACTATGATTATGGAACTTAGAATATAGTTGCATTGTTAAGTCAAAAATTTATTCAACAACTTTTACGACATTATAACTTATAAATTAAGAGATATGCATAAAAGAATAATCAAAAATAGGATTGTGAAAGAAAAGCATTGACCTAAAAATTAACTTAGGTGATTTGATTGTTATAAAAAATTCAATTCATCAATCATTTTAAAATTTAGAATGTAAAGAGGGAATGAAATATGTAATCTATTGGAAAAGATTTCAAATCATTTTATTGATTTAACATTGAATTATATGAGTTCAAAGTAATATAGGTCCAAAAGAAAGGATAGAATCTAACTAAACATACATAAACAAGAAAGATCTCCATGGCAAGAAGTTTGATACTTTACCAGACCAATTACAAACTTCTCAACAATGGCTTTTCTATCACTTGCTAAAACCTTATTTCTTTATCATGTAAGCAATGATACAACTCCTACCACATTTTTTTTATTTGTTTTTAATCCATGCTCTTCATTTCAATTGTCCAAAAGTGGTTCAAGTAACTCTTGCAATTTTAAATCTGTCACTTGAATAAACCACTCTATATTTTTTCTTTTCAAAGTTGTTCTTTTAATTCTAGTGAATTATACATATTGATATTCTAATTCCCTCAAAAGGTTTTTTAACAATAAATCTTTGTTAGGTCTTGCAACTCTTTCCAAAAATGTTCTCTTTGTTACCTTCTTCAAATCTTTCATAAAAAATTCTATTTTCAATGCTTGTACAAATACCTCCCAATTCTCTCCATATCTTTCTTTTAATTTTCTCACTTGCCCACAAATTTTAGAAAACGCAGCAAGTTCAAAACTTTTAATCATTTCATTCTCTAAAATCCTAATCATCTCCACCTTTCTAGAGACCTAAATTATTCACCACTTAAGTCAAACCAAATTTTACGCAACTTCTTGTTATCCAAATCAAATTCTTGGTAGAAGACTTCATTCAATACACTCAATGTGGTGCACTAAAAATTAGTGAAAAAACCATTTAGATAAGGTGTAGATTGTAAATTTTCTTTCAAAGGTTCTATCTTTAGAAGCTCCTGCAAGAGATGATGCTCTTTAACATTGTCCATTGATTGGTCAACATGACAACTAGAAGAAGAATTATAGCCCTCTTTAACCCCCTTCTCCCTCTCCCTTGCAATTATATCAAGTAGTGAGGTCTACATATAAATATCCAATCAATCACATGTTTCCATGTTTTTTTGAATGAGCATATAACAATATGAAGTCCAAGTAGCAACTTAGGGTGTACTTGTAACTCGAACCTAAAATTTAAGGAAATATTAAATAGATTCATGTTTTAATTAAATAAATCTACTCTTAATAAAGAATGTGGTAATCATGATGAATGTGGTTAGTTTTTATTGATTGAAGATTTAATAAAAGAAAAATAAATTTTAAAATTATTATTTATTTTCATAATGGTTAAAATGGACGGATCAATTTAATAAAAATTAAGGTCTATTTAACATTGCCCTAATTTAATGACTTAAATATTTTATATTGAGATTACATATAATTCTATATTGTTCCATGAAGACTATGCTCAAAGATAAAATAAGGCATTTTATACCTTCAATAATGCTTTTCAAGGATGAATCTATTTAGTAAAAGCATGGGTATATTCAACATTCCCCCACATTCATCCCATAATCATTATAAATAATTCAACAAAAAAATATCACATACCAATAGCTTTTATGTCTCCAAAAGTAAAAAGAATAAGTATTCCACTACCCAAACCCTATTCATACACGCTCACCAATAGGTTGATAAAACTTTTTAAAAATCAAATTAAACTAAGTCTTGATTTTTAATTTAAAAAATAAAAAACAACTCAGCATCAAGATTACGAACCCCATAAATGGCTTGATAGTTGGTAAAATCATCGGAAAGTTATTAAGAGCACGACAAACCTTAATCAATCTTGAAACAAGTATCTCCAAAGTCCTAAATAGCTCCCAAGCATGCCTGCTTAAGACTAGTATGTCAAAACCACTTCACATCCTCAAAAGGCATTGCCGTACTTGAGTGTATAACTAGAAGTCAGAAACGTGAAATGTTTTTTCACTGATAGAATACAACTCCAGAGTACATCTGTAAAGACGATCTAAATCAAGTGAGATTAAAAGGCAGGACCTCAAGTGCATCTAGTTCCGAAGGGGAAGCATGAGGACCCACCATGTCAGAGACCTCGGGAACTCACCTTAAACCCCAACTCAGTAAACCAATACCTTATCCAAGAAGCATCCCAAAACATACTCCCCATGCCTTCAGTCCATGCTCATCATCCATAAGATCACGGGTCGTTAATCGATCCATCCTCCAATGTTACTATCCTCCCTCTCAGAGGTCGTTCCATGTTGGTAATGAGGATCCCTTCGAGATTGTTGGCCTGGGTGGAAGTGCTGGGAACTCTGCTGCCGAAACGAATGCGTATTCTGAAAATGATGTGGATAGGGAACCGAGGAAGAAAGTTGTGATGTAGGGAAAAGGTAGGGTTGTTCAGGGTTATAAGCTTGATGTTCATACGGGTGAGGTAGGAACTGGGAAGGACGATGAGCATATGGATGCAGTTGAGGTGGAGGTGGCGGAGGAGGTGGCGTTGGCGTTGGCAGTAGCGGTTGACCCCACCTTGAGCTTCTGCTATTCGGTAAATTACCAATTGGAGAGAATGTATCTCTAACGCGCGGATCAAAAGTCGGTGACCTGTGTTCCCTTCTTGGTACGTGCTGAGGCTGCCGACTTGCGAGTCTTGGGTCACGAGTCTGTGGGCTCCTTCGTGTTATTTTTTCAGAAGATCTAGGATTTGGGGATGGATTAGGTTGAGCGCGATACGAAACCGGTCTAGCAAGGCCAGGGTTTTCGATAAAGAGACTGGAAGTCGGTTTCGATGATTGGAGAGGCTTTACAGGCTTCTCATTCACACGAATTGGCTGGCTAGGGGTGGGTGACAGCAGCAACTCTTTTCGTGGAACATAGGCCCTGAAAAACTTCTTGTGGACGTAGATACAAAAATGCGGGACCACAGCATTAACCTGCTGCAAGCTCTCCATATGCTGATCATGCAGGCTACCAGGTACATAGAACGACTGCGCATCGCAGGACACGAAATCAGCCTACTCATATCAGTTACTCGAGCTGAAAATTGAGCGCAGCTAACAGCATGGTTGAAATGCACTAAATGCAAGATAGGCTTACATTGTCATCCAAAAGTAAATGATCATCCTCCAAACAGTTGTAGCCTCGATGCTCCATTCTGCATGAGAAACAGAGCTTGAAAAACATGCGTCGAAGGGCACTCACAACGAGAACTGACGAAGAAATAGAGATTAAACTACTTTCAGGTAAGGGTTTGTTCTTGATGAAAGCTTGGGACGAGGAAGACTGCCAATTCCGAAGAACTGAAAAAACTTACTTATTCTTCAATGGAGGAGTGATAAGGACAAGTAGTCTGGGTTGCATCATCAAAGCGTGAGCCACAAACTTCTCCGCAAAAGGAAATGGAGGGTTTAAACCTATAACCTGTTAGACCACCAAAGAACAAGAGACAACTTATGTCCAAGATATGATTTTAGAAATACTACGTATAAACCACTGGTGTTTTAATGAACACCATGCAGAGTGAAAAGCGTCAGATTCGAACTAGCTAAACTAATTCTAATAACAAATGGGATAAAATCATAGAATTAGACACATGCAACACCCACAAAGTAAGTATTGTATGAGTTAATACAACGTGACCATTCGATGTAACTGAGAATTGACTAGTTCGCAGCCCTACCAGATTTTCACCAGATCCAAATTCAGTAGCTTTGGTGTCGAACCAGTCCTTCCGCTCGAATTCAAACGTATCCTAAACAGGTGACAATGCATAAGTTAATCAGAATGTTACGGAAAGCTTATAATTGCAATTTGTAAAGTCCTTAAACCTGTTAATCGCCGCAAATAGGTCAATTTCTCTGTACTGAAAAAAATGGCCTTACTTTTGGTGGAAAGATGTCGAAGTTCTTGAACTTCAAATGAGTCTTTCCAGCATCTGAAAGAGCATTGTGCAGCAGCCGGGAAAAAGAATTATCTCCACAGCTAAAATCCACAATCTAGACATCAATAAACACGTGAGGCAACAATAAGAATGGTTCAGTAAAACGTGCCACAAACCCATACGTAAGCTAGGCGCTCCCAAACTGAAGGTATCAAACACGCGGAAATTAAATACATGTCGAAAATACAAGAAACCGCTTCAATAATAGAAGTTCTTTCACTTAAGCAAAAAGCTTCAGATTCCTGCCGGCATGAGTGAGAAAGTGAAGATTGCAGTCTATCATCAAAAGACGCAAAAATCGTTCGGTAACACTACAGAGATATGGCTTAGCAAATACCGTATCGTGGTCCCAAATTAACGGATGAAGTCTTCGCACCACCTAGTAAACCAAAAGATCATCGTGAAATTGAGGTACAGAGATTGGCGAGAAAATTGGCGAGAAAATTGGCGAGAAAATTGACGAGAAAATTGACATACGTTAACAGATGCCACATAAATTGATCCATACCTTTCTAAGCTTCTCAAGTTTAGTGAAGTGTCGCCCATAAGATACATATCGGTCCCCATAAAGAGTAGGCGCGAGAAAAGTTTTTAAATAATCCTGTGAAGAATCCAGACCTCAGCGAACTCAACTTAGACAATGAATCTAACACACTTATAGATGTGCGAGACATCTGTATAATAAGAATGGACAAGTTTTGCATGGAAAAAAAACAACAAAGAAATAAACAAAGGATATAAATGAGCCCTTTCATGGACCAAAATATATTTTATCAGTTAAAATATTAACTTGAGTTCTTGTCATAACAAATAATTTTCAAAATAAGAAAATAATAACTAAAATTTACAAGAGATGTTTCAAGGAGGGATAATAATAAGAGACTTTAAAGGAGGAAAATGAATCAGAGAAAATGGCTAGATAATACTATAAATAAGGCGAGCGTCACATGTCTGAAATAACCAAAAGAAACAACTTCCTCAAAAGAAGGAATTAATTCTCTAAGAAATATTTTAAATCTTGTTGCGAGAAGGATCACCGCAAGATCCTCAACTTCAAAAAACTATTGCCAAAAAGCAGCATCAACAAGGACCCAGAAGGAGACGGCCGCATGTTTTCTTTTCTTTTTTAAATTCCAATTCATTCTCCTCCGCATACAGCCCCACTAACCATTGAGTTTACAAGAAATACCTCCAGACTGAGGTGTATTCTTTTTGTATTCAACGCGATTTCTATATTTGGATGAAGGAAAAAAAACAAAAAAAAAGGAAAAAAGAAAAGCAAAACAAAACAAAAGACATTAACAAGCTCTTCCATTTGTCAAAATTTTCCTTTTGTTAAATGTCTCCAAAGAAAGAGATATCTCCAAAACAAAAAATTAAGTGGAATTCATAAGAAATGACTCCAAGATGAGATATATAGTGAGGTTCAAGTAAAATTTGCAAGAGCTGTATCCACAAGAGTTATACACAAAGCAGAAGGTAACATGGTGTTTCGGTGTAAAGACGAGCATTACCTCTTCCAATTCAATTCTGTTAATATTACTTGGATTACACATGGCCTTTGCCTCCTCCACTGTTATTTTTTTGCTTCGTAACTTCTCTAAAACAATCCTTGCGGCCTGATACACAATTGCAAGCACGCATGTAATCAGTCATTATTTAAACCAAACTGCTATGAATTTTTCCCATTCCACCTCATCCAAGAAGTTAAGACTGACGACTGCTGTGGGACCAACTTATGCACTAATTCCCAGAGCCAAGACAAAACTCTAACTTCAACCCAAATCCACTGCTTTTCTTTAGCTTTAGCATCCTCCAACAAAGTGTGGAACTAATCTCTAACCCAACAGACCAAACAGATATAAGGGAAAGCCTAACATATATGACAGACTAAGGTAAAACAGAAAAAGCGCCATGCTTTGGTGCTAGTGTACCATACATGATCACTCTACCATTCCACATATGACTATTACAAATCTAACTGAAAATTTTAAAGTGCAAGAATATTACCTTCAAAATCGAATCCTTATGACCCTGCTTCATAAAACTAAAACCTCTTCTCTCCCTATAAATACTAGGAAGTGCGAGCTTGAGCTTTACGGATTGATCCGTCACCTTTTGCGCGGACTCGGCAATAACTCCTAAAACAACCCTGTGCCACAAGGAAAACAAAAACAGAACACTTGAAGTCTAAATTTAAAATCAAATCAAGAGTTGTAGCGAGTTGGCAACTTCCTTACAGAATCCAACACAAAAGATTAACGCACCTCACGAACAAGAAAGAGAAATGGACTGTACCTCTTTGCAGCATCTTCAGACTTCTTCAACATATCTGCAGATATGCTTAACCTTGGTGGTGAAGCCAAGGGAAGTTCACGAATTTCCTCAGGCCTTTTTTCCTTGGCAAGCAGTTCAACACCAGAATGTTTCTTTTTTGCACTTTTATCTACCAGTATAGGCTTTAAAGAAGAAGACGCTTTGGCCTCTAAGCTGGGTGACACATTAGCTTCAGCGGCGACTTTCGATTTGAGTTGTTTGAACACCTCAGGATCCCCAGGGCGCTCAAGGACTCTTGGGAACTTAACGTGGTTCCGTTTAGGCGTGCCTAAATCTTTCATGATTTTATGTTTCCTGTAAATAGAGCGAAGTGTATAGGATTTAGAAACCACCTCATTAGGTCCTGGTGAATAGTGACAAATGGGAAGCTGATTATTACCGTTGTTACCACTGTCAGTGTCCCACTCACGAAAGTCATCGAGAAAATGTGTCACTCACGTGCAGTAGATAATGAACCGCTTATAGACATCTCCAAATGCCCAGGCTCGTACTTCAGGATGCTTGTCGTCCGTCTCCTCCGCAAAACGTATTCCACTAAGCAATGTTGAACACAGCGACATGAAAAAATTCCACAAGGTAAAAATACTGGCCGCACGAACAATCTGATACAAAAAATAATCCTACATAAATTGTTCCTTCTAAAGAGCAAGAGAAGCTATCAAGTTAGCCGAGTTGGAACACACCTTGGCAAGCATTTTTTATGCCATGTTGCAGGGCAGCGTCTGCACCTAGCAAGTAAAAGAGACTCTTCCGTCGAATCTTCACCTTTACCACATTTTTTACATCTGTGCAGAGGACAAGCAAAGGATTCTACTCCAGCTTGTATGTTCGTTGCAAGTAATTTTCTATCATCCTCAGTAAGTGCAATTTCGTTTGCAACACACGTAGGATGATAAAATTTACCGCAACACGCGACATCACACACAAAAACCTGCATGACATTAAATTCAGAGAATCAGTCCTACGTTAGCATCGGGTTTGTTCTGATGCATTACAGTAATCAACTTGTTAAGAAACAGATTGTTTGGTTTACCTCTCTTTTAACTCCCAAATCCTCATCAGAATCACCAAGCTCCCCACAAACGTAACATTGGTGCTTTTTATACACGCAATTTTTGCAAAGCCATTGACCAACCATTTTCTGCACAACCGATGTGATTGAGTGACTACAACATGATAAGGACTTGAGACACAGGTACATTCAGCTTGAATGTTTATGATAGAAAGTAGATGCGGAATCTAAACATAATGATAGCAAAAATAGAAATAGTGATAGTAATAAACCTCCACATACCGCAATGGCAGATTTGGTAAGTTTAAGCGTTTCGCAATTATGCTGGGGGTCTCTAATGGCGTGAAACGACCGCATACAGGGACCATCGCAGCACAGCAATTCACCTCCGTCATCACAAATAATGCACAACGAATCTCCTAATTCTTCAGAGGCTTCGTCAATTTCAACGTCTTTTTCATCCTCCACAAAGTTTACCTCATCACCCGAGTCGTGCATAATTTCATCTTCTGGCTTCCCGACCTCATTATTATCAACAGTGTTTCCAAAATCCTTCTTATGTCTTTTCACACGTAGATTGCCGTCTTCATCAGAACTGTCATCCGAAAGCATTCGCTTTCCAGAGTTTGCTGCTTTATCTTTGAAGACTACTGATCTGAAAGTACTAAGAGCCTGCACAAGCTGAATATGTGTGTATATGTATATTAGCAAAATAAAAGCAATGTACACGGTTTCTGTACCCTACCAAAACAGAAACACCAGAATCGGCAGAGTGTACTTTGAGATCAACACTCACATCCGAATCCTTCAGTCCAGAATCCAGATTGATATACTGCTCAACCACTGCGAACCGCTTACTAAGGTGACCATATATAGTCGCTTTAGGAACATCCCTGCGCAAATAGTTGAATGTCATAGATATGGCAGACAATGAAATCGAATGGCAAAAATCTAACGCTGCAGAATTGGTATGAAGGAATACATTTAGAATGCTTATAAGTCACTTAAGGAAAAGCTTATTTCACGATGTTGCAGTCCAATCCATGAATTCATCGCGGAGACAATACCATTCATCAAGACGCTTCCCCACTAAGTCTCCACTTGCGTGTGGCTCTTCTTTCAGGAGGGCGAGGAACTTAGCTATACAGAAGACGCTCTCCGCTGTTTCCTTGTAGCCAAACTGAGGTTTCCCGAGCTTCACCCTATAAAACATAGGACAAATATTCACGTCTCAACTGGGGGTATAATAAGGAAGCACTAAGAAAAGGCTTCACATGGTTTTGGAACAGGAGAATAATTTCGGGGAAACTGTGCGACTCCAAAGCTCAATGTAGTCGTATAAAGAGTAATCGTGCCTATTCAACAACACTGAAGTGTCTGCACGACTGAATCGCAATTCAAGTAATGATTGCTAAGCTTAACTCATTACATGATCGGATAGAAGACGCCAGACAAAATAGTAATTTATCATTTAAGCTTTACTCTTCAAGAGGAAGACAAGCACACCAAGGGCCGAGAGAGTAAACTGAACGAGAAAAGAGATAATAAGGAATCGAGAACTCACCAATTCGTATCACCCTTCTGCGTGTTGATCTTAACTAAAATATTAAAAGTCCCATTACCAGGGAATGCCAACTTCCACGCTCGAATGGAGCGCATAATATACTCGCCCCCACTCTTGCCATGCAAATACACCTCGGTACTAGTGCTGGCGAAGTCCTTCGTCGATCGCCCCTCAAATTCCAGCGGCACGTCACAAAGTGATACTGGTTTATTATTTTCATCGTCTACGATCGTGTACGCATCGACTTCCACGATCTCAACTTCGACCTCATCATCGCTGCTATCACGTCTAAGATGACCGATGGGTGCACGACCCACTGCTCTCGCAGCCTTTCCCTTGAAATCATGCCCCTCCGGCTGACCCCATCCCACTGGTTGAGACGTTCCAGGCTCTTTCGTTAAAAAACCCATAGCTGCCTGTGTTGAGGAAGACCCTGGAGTAGGTGGCTTGAGAGATTCCGTCGAGCTTTGCGGCTCGTTAGTACGCATATCTTCAACTTTTGCGATGCCTACATTAACTACATTGACGTCAGCTTTGTCTTCTTCCTCCTTATGTTCTGGAAACTCTGGTGAATGGGGTGGTTGTTCTGACTTAAGTTGCAGGGCAACAATCATGGCACTTTTCGTGCGCTCCCCCAAATAATACCCGTCTTTTCGAAGCACTTGGTCTGGCATTAAATCATCCTCAAATTCAACAACCATACGGTAATCTCCATCTTTATCACCAGTCATTACATAACGTCCCGAAGCCCGTGCCATGATAACCGTCGGGCCTCTATATCTCACCAATGCAAGAAAAAGAGATCAAATGAACTCACCCATCGGCAACAATGCACTAATTAGGGCACACTGCCACCACCCCAAGGCAAATCCAAGGAGTGGAGAAAATGCAATCAGAGAATCAAACAAAGTCAAAGAAAATCGCAACCGCTTTCTTGATAGCAATTACGAGAGAAAAAAGTTGATTGAAGAAATCGCGAGCGACGCACACAACTCCCAACAAAAATGTCCTCAACTGGCTCCAACGGAATATCCCCTTCACCAGTTACGATCAATTGTTTAACGCCTCACACTAGACAAAAAAAAATGCTCAAATCCTTGCCAGCCCTGATGACCAGTTCCGAAAATCATACTAACGATAATAGGTTCACTCTGTCACTCTGTCGCGCCAACCCTCTTCCACCCAGCAACGCAAATTCCTTCAAACTCTGCGAACCGTCCTCCCACCACCCCTAATCTCGACAACGTCGAATTTACTCCATGAAATGGGAACCCCAGCTTGCGCGCCCGCAGGCAATCCGTAAACTCTACACAGATACCAAAATGAATGGAATTCGCGACTCCTAATCTAAAAACACCTACACATCACCACCGCAAACCCCACAAGAGAGTGGAAAGTCCAAGACGAAGGGGAAAGTCAGGTATTCATGCATGCATTCTTTCCTTTCCTTTACTTCCTACAGTTAGGTAGGAAATAAGACTGCTCCGAAAAGATAGAGAAAACAACAACAACAACAACTCCTCCTCATGAAACTATACTGTAGCAGAATGTCAGCCAGTGAGTAAGTACTGCCCTGCCTCACTCCTTTCATTTCACTTCACTTCACGATCTCCCTCCCTCGCTCGCTCACTTTTCCCACCGCGACCCAGTCTGCTTTAGGGTTTTGCTTCCGTGGAAGTCTCGCAATTCGTAGATAGCGAGACGCAGGGCTTCGGCTGGATTATCGGGGTTTCCATCGTGGAAATTGATGGCAAGTGTGGCTCTCGTGTGCACTACTCTAGCTCCTATTCTTTTCCTGAAAATCTATGTGTTATAAGTGTGGGTGTATTATGTATGTATGTGTGTATATATACATATATGAACTGCATTTTTAGAAAATTTACTCTAACTAAGCACGGTACTTGTTTATTTATTTATTATAAATAAAAAATATATAAATCTTTTTATAAAATACTACTGTGAATGCAAATTTACAACCATTTTCAATGTTGTTCAAGCTCTAATTTCAATCATGTTGATAGTGAAATTTTAAAGTTCATAGATTATTTTGGTTTATTTTGTATTTGATTTTAATATCAACTTTAAAAACACATTTTTAGAAGATTCAATTTTTTTTAGTAAGATAATTTTGTAAATTAATTCGTATAATTATTAATTTAAAAGAATATATATATATATATATATATATTTGTTTCAAGTGTTACAAACATCCAAAAAAAATATTCTTAAAATATTTTTAAAACATTATATTAAGTTTTAAAATGTTTTAGAAGATTCTAAAAATATTTTAATAAGAGGTTCTACAAGAGTCTTAAAATATTCTAATATAAGATTTTAGAAAGATTCTTAAAATATTTTAGAAAATTCTAGAAGGTTTTCAAAATATTCTAAATAGATTTTAGGAAGTTCTAGGAAGAATATGGAAGTTGTTCAAAAAGCTTCATAGAATTGCTTCATCTTTAAGCAATTGAGAATTTCTTTAGAAGCTTCTCTAGGTTGTTTCATCTTTAAGCAATATGGAAATTGCTGAAGAAGCTTCTTAATACTTAGTACATATTAGAGTCAAGGCTAAAGAAATCATTAGTCTTGACAACACACCTATTGGAATTCTAACTTACTTCTCTTGGTGGTGATCTTATACTCATCTGGTTTAATCAAGTTCTTATTGGTTCTTTTGATAAAATTCATATATTCAACTTCTTCTTTGGTCTTTTGTATAATATATCCGTGACATTAAATCAAAATAAAATAAAACTAAGAGTATTATATAAAAAATAAAAAAATATTTTTTAATAGTTTAAATCATGGATAAAAATACAATTTTTTTAGAAAGCTTATAAAAAGCCTTTTCAATAATTAATATACTTGACCAAAAATAAGGCCATCTTTAAGCTTATTATCACCATTTATGTATTCTAATCTTAATTCAAGATTCTTTATTTATATTTTATATGTAACAATAATTATTTTAATTCTTATCTATCTTGTATCTATATATTTTTTAAAATAATTCTCTCTTCTTCAATGAGACATAAGTACATTGTTTCATAAATATTTTTTATATTTATATCTTCAACAATATCTTATAAGTACTCATTTAAATGTATATATATATATATATATTGAAATAATGCTATAATTGGTGCTTATAATGCAATGTCTACTTAATTAATTTCACTTCTATGGTACATCAACCCAATATCATTCTTAACTTGGCTATAAGATCTTTAATAAATATTCAATTACAAAATTAGACCTTTGGAGATACCTTTCAAAAATTGAAACCTAAACAAATAGGTGCAAATTGTCTTTCTTCATTTTGGCTTTCCCTCTCTAAACATACTACTTGACTATACATACAATCCACAAAAACAGATTCTTGTTGAAACAATTTTAAAGAACAAAAAATAAAAAAAATAAAAACTTCAATTTAGGCTGCGCACTTTGGAAACTAATTTAGGAAGCTATATTTTAACACTAAGGAAATGTTAGCATTTTGCAATCCAACATTTGTGGAGGTTGGGGTGTGGGGGTATGGGGGTGCTTACAACATCGTGGTGGCCATGAAACTGATGGAGCATTAGCTTTAAAACAGTTATGAGCGATAAGAACGCTTTCATGGAAGCAACTTGTGCCGGCACCTTCTACATGACCTTATACATGGGGTTGATCACGTCTTGTAAACCCAGTTTGTTGTTTCAACGTCTTACCTGGATTCCTTCTTCTTTGCTGCATTCCTTGAACTGCAATCCTCTGGAATGGAAGCATGTGCTGCTTTGGAGCACATGCTTTGTTAGTATGTCTTTGCTATCCAAAGTCTTGCATTAGGTGAATGAACTGTTTCTTAGGCTCTTTTCAGGTTCATTTCAAGGACTTCGAAGTTTCGATACTTGCAGTTTGTCAAGCCGTTAAGGTCCCCTCGGTGACTATGACCTGCAAGCATTAAGTTCCAAACATACAGCTCCTGATTATGGTTGCAAGTTGAAAAACGGCATTTCCAATTGCCTTCTCCGTATGAAGTAGCTTGTCAAGCTAGAATACATCTTCGAGACAGCAGTCGTGATTGCTATGTGCTGTTCGCCCAGGCTTGCGCGTGAGAGGCATAATTTTGGGCTGGGGAACGGCCTGACGGTGATCCCATCTCTTTCTGCACACCCTGCTGCGCAAAGATATAGTGATCCCGCCATCCATTCTCACTTGACTCAACCAAAGGTACAACGGGGAAGATCTGAACTGAAATGTTGGAAACCCACGGATCTGGGAGGTCAAAGACGCAACAATCGCCTTCCTCGAGGTGATGCTCCAGCACAAACCGTGTCCAACCCTTGCTGTTAATGCCAGGATGCTTGGGGTGAGCACCCATCCATTCAACCAGCCACTTTCGTCCGGTAGAGTCGCATAACATGAGTTCCATAGTCTTCAGAGGAAGCTGCAGCGCATCTACCATTTCTTTAGGTACTTTCTGTCACATTTTCACGAGATTGTTTGCATTAGGCTTAAATCGAGTACTGCCCGGAATGCATTATAGAGATTGTAAGGATTTCCCATTGTATAGGTCGATGCTTACCAAGTGGAAACCGCAGTAGACTTGTGTCTTTTTCAACTGCATCACATAATGCTTGTTCTTGGACATGTTGGCAAACTCCTGCGCAGTGATGAGGGCTTGCTGCCTTTCTTTATCTGTGACCGGTCGTCTTTTTGATATATAAAGAATTGGCGGTTCTTTGGGGGGAGCCATCCCGCCGATCTTCATAGGTTTCGGTCTCTTGTACACAGGTTTCACCACATCCTCTGGCGGGTCAACATTTGCCGCTTTCTTCTCTCCGCTATCTTCAGAAACCTTCCCATTGTTTCTGGATTTTGCAAGAGTTTTTCTCCGTAACTCTCTGAGCGTTCGTGGCGCAGCCGGGTGTATAACTCTTGACTCAACATTTTCCTGTAGCATGACTTCTGAAGTTCCCAAATCTAAATTGCTTGAAGGTTCTTTCACTGCTCTCACAGGAGGCATCTCGAGCATCTTCTTCATGCCTAAAGAGCGTCTCTGCGTAAGCCGCTTTTCCCTATTACACCCAGAGTCTGCCTTTTCGCCATTGAACACTTGCTCCTCACACCCCAACTTCCTCACGGTGCTTGAAGTATAAAGATCGTTATCATCTTTGTAGCCCCCGGTTTTTCGTTGGAGCTTTCTGGATCTGGATCTTGTAATGACCAGCTCCGAACTAGAAGGTTCACTTGAAACGGGTATACTCCTCCTTGTTGCTTGATTGCCTGTGAGATTCTCAATAATGCTGCTGTTTCTTTCATTCTGAACATCATTATCATTGTCGTCGTCATCATCAACACCCGATATTCTTCGCAAATTCTTCCGGAGCTCCATTTCGGCAGGTTCACGTAACGGCACAAGTATTTGTAGATCCATGTCCTCTGGTGTCGTTCCGGTCCGATCCTCCGCGTCAACCTTCGTGACTTCGCTGTTACATCTAGTATGATTTTTTTCTGGCCGTATCTTTAAGACGCTTGTGGCGATTGGAGAAACTGCATTTACTTTTCCTCCATCATCCAAATTTCTATGTTGCGAAGGCACATGCTCTTCGTCCTCACTGCTGTCGGGAATATGAAGAACCTCATTTCCATCAACTGTGGAATGTCGCAATAAGGGTAAATCTGCAGAGTCTTCATCCACTTTCATTAGTTGTCTATCACTTTCGACTTTCGTTGCTGAACATGACTGGAATCTTAGGTCTTAATTCACAGGAGACGACGCACCTTCTTCCTGCGCCGAAGCTCGGACGTCCGTTTTTGCTTTCTCTGCAAGCTCCCTTGTTAGTTGTTTAGATCTGGCTTTACTGAAATCACCATTGGATTGGGCCTCTCTGTCAGTTGAAGGTAACACTCTCAACTTGACGTTGTTCTCATCGTCAAACACTTGAATCATGAAATGTGAATCATTCAATAAAAAGAATACAACCTGGTCCTTCACCTCAAGGTTGTAATCAGCTGCAACTTCTTGCCAGCCTTGCATTATGCAAGTCTTGGAATCTAATGTCATCCCTAGCATCGCTGGCCATCGGTGCCCATCCGGGCCTTGGAGAGTGAGTTTTTCTTTGAGACTTTTGATGTGGTGGTCCAAAAACACGGTCGGCAATTCCTAGAACAAAAAGGACTCGCTCAGTCATTTGCAGGAAGGATGGAATTTTTAAAACATACACATGATAATCTCATCTACCTAAGTACGAGCGACTAGGAGTGAAACATTGAAGAATGAGATGACTTACAAGCTTGCAGAACATGGCAGTGTGGAGACAGCTCCCCACAACATCTACAACAAAGAATGACTTATTCGTCGTCCCTTGCCGAGCTGTTCGGAGCAGCTCCTTCCAGAGTCCTGCATCCTCCCTCTGCTGAAGATTATAACTCGTGGCCTTTTCCATGTGGTCAAACTACATTACCAATCGTGATGGAGTTACAGGGAAAGAGAAGGGCGCAGCAGAAGTCTCGAGCTGGAGACCAGGCAGGGCCATCTGGAGAGAATCACAGAGAATGAGCTTCAATGATCACGGCGAAGAAGAAGCCGAAGATGGGGACTTAGTGATTGGAGACGGCCGAAAAATTACCGAGGACTAAGATGGTGATGCAGTGATCTAAGAGTTCGAAATGGCAAAAAAAGCTGTGCAGAAAAAGCTCCTGCTCGAGTTTGCCCTTATGACATCGGGGCAGTCACCACAAGCGGATGAATTGATCGAGGATGGAGAAATTACATACATTATGATATTCCACAAGTGGTTCGGTTACTTATAAACAGAGATGTAGGGTTCCCTCAACCTGACCAGGGAGAAGACTACGGGCTGCAACATCACCCGGAACAAACACAGGCCAGTCTCGACAGTAAGAGCTCACCGAGAAGGAAGACGAGCTGACAGAGTACGACCACCTGCTGAACTTCAAGCCAAATTTGGAAGATGGTCATTCTCAACGTGATTCTTTTGCATTCATTTCCCGCACGCAAAGAAATGAATAATCAAAAAAAGAACAAAAAATCCGCAGCCATTTCAAGGATACTCCAGCAATGGATAGCCATCATCAGGTACAACTCTGACCACTGCAGCAGAAGAAGTCTGGAACTGGCAGAGAGGTAACGGACTGTCACAGCGTTAATTGAGACACCCAACTAATAAAGATAACAAACCCACAGCCCACAGGCTTCGATCTCTCTTCTGCTCGAAGCTGTATGCGCACCCCGAGCTAGAATCAACATTTTAAAACGCCATTGCTAAGAGTTCCGCCGTCAGACCTAGCTCAGTGAGATCCAACGGCATGAATCATGGGAGTCCCTAACCATTTGAGTCAGTCACAGAGAGAGGGAGAGAGGGAGGAAAAAGACATAAATAAAAACAAACAAGCAAACAAACAAACAAACAAACAGAAGCACGATCATTGGAAAACTCTACACCAGAACAACACAGGAAGCGTCTTGGAACAGAACCCAACTGGGTTTAAGAACAAACCAATTGTCCTACTAGGATTCAATCCAAAGTCACAGAAGGGAGTAAAGACCCCATGAGCAGCATTTCCAGCCATGGCAAACAAGGGATCGAGTCACTGCAACCGGCGAGCAAGAAAAGGAAAAAAAGAAAACCACAGAAAAAAGAAACTAAGACTGTACCTCGAATTCGACTACGCAAGCTCCATCGCCCGGTGCACTAAACCATACCGCCACAACCAGAGCAAAAAACCCACGCTCTCGCGACACCAGCTCTGGAAACCACCGCGGTGAAGAAGAGTAGGCTAAAAACCCAAGCACCTCATCTCACACCTCAGGTGACCAAAATCGAGCAAGCAGAGCGAAACAGAAGCTGCCGAGAGCGATGCAAGCACACAAGGCCACCCTTGACCGATTCTTGCAAAAGGTGAGCGGATTTGTGGCCTCGTCAGTCAGGGCTCGCCGGAATCCTGGAAACCTCCACAGACGGTGGGGTGGCATCTCGCATCGCCTTTTTTCCCATTCGCCCAGTCAAGCAGGCACTCCAACTATTCTCTGCGCTCTGTTGTTGGGCGTTGTTATCCTCACCTCCGCACCATCGCCATCGCCATCGTCTCTTCTCCGCTTCTGTGACACACTTCGCAACACACACTTACACACACACACATACACACAAACATAGACACAAACATACCACATCCTCATGAACAAGTTTTGTGATGGTAAATAATGTGTGGAGTCTTTGATTCTTTCTGTTACTGACAGGTTTGCATGCCATTGCTTCGAATTCTTGTGCCGATTCTCGTCGTTTATCCGTGCAAGGTCTTGGCTTGCTTTCCCTTCCGCATGTTGTTTTGTTGCATTGTTTTATTGTTTTGTTTTTTTTATAAAAAAGAGTCAAGAATTTCTACTCCTAGTCTGACAGAGTCTGAGTTTTGCCATGGGGCTATCTACCCACACTAGTTCCTTCTCCTTCGAGATGGCTCTGTGCTTTGTTAGGTTTCTGTTACAGAAGAGAGTGTGGTGGTGGTATTTAACCATAATTTGGTGCTACAGTTTGAAGCAAATCTTGACTCTGAGACTGAGCCTGGCAGTCGAGTATTGAGGCATTGTGATTTGTGACATTGAATATCCTTAACGTTTTTCACAATGATGGAGAAGAATGATGCAGTTGTGTTTGTTTCCAACCGAATCTGATCATTCGAGTGCCCTTTCTTTGTAGAGTCCTTCTAACATTTCTTTGTTGAGTCCTTCGAACACTTTGGGAGTTTCTCTTACTATTGATGCTTCAATCAAATCAAACAATACAAATCCATACTTAATAGTCACAATTCTTTATGGTTGCTCTTTTATTTATGATTTACTATTGTGCATAGAGAGGGTTTTATTGTAATTTTAAAAATCTCTGAAATAAATAAATAAATAATTATAATCAATAGAAGATATGAAAATTGTGTGCTTGAGTCAACTTGATTTAGGGTAGTACACTTCTTTAATGTAGAAAGGGATGCACATGTAAAGATAAACAACTTGTTGCACACATACATCACTGGTCATTACGTCTTGGCAATTTTTGTACTTTGTTCACCTTATATGTAGAAGTTGATGATACAGCAAATTTGTTTATTTTAAAATTACCCTATTCTTGCAAGATAAAAGTTATAAAAAATAAATTGAAAAAATAATTATTCTTTATAGAATCCATAGCTATTATTTTGTATTTTACTCATGACAATCAACTTTTTCTTGATTTACAAACAAACTTGTTGTAGTGAAAAGTTGTTTAGTATTCTTGGAAGCAATAACTTTTAAAAATTTCTTGTAAGTGTAGGACATTTGCTTCTCTTTTCTTTCAATATATTTAATTTTTACATCACAAAAAATAAGTCTATTAAAGTCTCTTCAAAACCCTCTTTAAACAAGAATTAATAGTCATACTCAATGTTTCTATGTTCTTTGCAAGAACCTCAATAATGCAAACTTTAATGCTTTTATAATAAAAGCAAATTTACATGCCAAATCATCTCTCAACCACACATGGAGAAGTTAATGAATATGGCATTGAGAAAAAAGTGGGACAACATTGACATGCATTGCAAAGTGTAGAGAAAAATAAAAAATTTATGTTGGGCCTTTACTTGCTTGGAGGAATAAAAGCAAGGCCCACTTTTGTGAACTCCACCTATTCCTGCCTAACCTAGTTTTATGGGTGCTTGTTCCACATGTCTTACTAACCAATACTAGTGCATTTTGAAATGTATTATATATTGATCTCCATCTATTGTGCACAGTTTTTGCAAGGTTGTGTGGCATATGTAGAATTATTAGTCTTTTCAGTTTCAAGGGTTGTTCTTTGCATGACATAAGCGTGGTTGTTACAAGCTTGTTTGTGACACTAAGTTGCAGACGTTGTGAGTATTCATAGATTGGAATATGTCCAAAATAGTGGATTCACATGCTACCATTCATGCATCTTGTGTGTGTAATATCATATCTTGAGCAAGAGGAATTGTTTGCATTTGACAATCACATGCACTATTTTGTATATTGTTGTTAGATTATTCAATGTGAGCAAGAGGTTACTACCTTTTAAACTTTAATCATTTGTAAACTTTACCTTGTGGTGGTATAATTGAGGTATTAATTTGTAATAAAGGTATTATATTGTTTTGAACTTATAATGTTTGAATTGAGGTGTTAATTATTGCTATAGCCATTCAAATAAATAAAGTGTAAATATTATAGTGAATAAATCAATGATGTATTTCTTTGATTTATATAACATACATAAAAATATGTTTAATGCTTGCACTATTATTTTAAAAAGAAAATTAATATGCTTTTCTTTTAATAAATTAAACCACATGAATATAAAAAAAAACTTATAAAAAGTAATTTAATAATAGAATTTTCATCAAACATGAAATTTTTTAAAATTATTGGATATATAATGAAAGAAGATTTGGAATAGTTATAAATCAAGGTGGTTGAAACTTTTGTGTACAATTAAAAAGATAGATATTAGATTTGATAAAAAAAATTATGAAAGTAGTGAGTATTCTAGCAAGTCTTAATCATTCCAACTTCATAATGTATTATTTTGTAATGAAAGTATCAATGAAAGTACTAATCTTTTAGAACAAAGAATTAAAAAAGTCTTTTATATATAGGAATAGAATTGACACAATCAAATTTAAGTGATATATTGTAAAAAGAAGAAAAATTATCTTAATTTTTTTTTATATTGATATCATATAATAAATTGCAAAAGAAATATATTATTTACATGACATGTACATTGCATATTGTGATATAAAGCTTAAGAATATTTTGGTTGATATTATTGAAAAAAATATTATAGATGAGATTATGCAACATTCTAATCTGAAAGTCATTAATTTTAAAAATTCTAAGATTGAAGTTAGAAGAAATCCAAAAATTGAAAAGAATAATATTACTTATGGTAGTTGTTATTATATGGCTCTTTTGAAACAAATTTCAAATAATGATAATGTGTCCTTTTGAAACAAATATTTATTCATTTGCAATAGTATGTTATAAGATTCTTTCAAAATAGATCTATTCTATGTTGATTTAATAGTAAAATAGATATAAAAAGAATTTAAAAACATAAAAAATAAGGCTTACCTTTAAGTTGTGATAAATTAACTAAGCTTATTAAACAATGTTGGAGCTAAAATCCTTTGTAAAAGACCAAAGTTTGCAAATATTGTGAAAGATTAAATTTATTAAAGTACAAATTTTTAGTTGGAATTAATATGACAAATACACCATATTTTAGAGCATCAAAAAGCAAATTTTCAATAAAATGCAATTTTTCAACAAATTCTCAATTAATTGCCATTTATAAGATTCATACCAAAAACTATAGTTAATATATATTAAATTTATTATATTAATTTTATTAATTATATTGATTGTAGCTTATGCTTTTCATATTCATTTATGATATGGTAATGGTTAAATGTCTTATTAAGAAATTAAGTTAAAAAAATATAAAACATAATATATATATATATATATATATATATATATATATATATATATATTTATATAATTCTTATTATGATATATGATTTATGGTTGAATTTCTAATTTTAGGATAATAATTTTTTTAAATGATATAAAAAAATATTTATAATAAATAAAACAACAATAAGTAAATAAAATGAAGGCATTATAACTTATTCGAATGGGAGAAATATGCAAGTCAACAATAGCAAAAGCTATATTAAATTATTTGAAGCATATGTACAATGTCTCATATTTTGTTGAATGCATCGAAAATGATTGTTATTGTTATATACTTTCTTGCAATATTTTAGAATAATTTCAATTTAAATGAAAACTAAGAAATTTTAAAGAAGCTCAAGAAATGTTGAAATCATTCCTAATCAAGAATATATCTATCTTCATCTTTGATGAGAAGAAAGTTAGGTGAAGAGATTTTGATATTAGAATTTTTTATTTTTTATATTTTCTAAATTTTATTGTATTATATTAGATGAATGTTAATATAAATTTATTATTTTATTGATTAATTAATTTTTATAATTAATTTTTTATCTATAGTGGATGTACTACCAATATAGATAATCTAATCTTTTTTATATTTAATTGTCTTAGTTTACTATTCAAGGGATTTTATTTTATAAAAATCTAAACAACAATAATATTTTTGATAAAATAAAAAGTATTCGCTTATCATCACTTCAATTTTTAAATTGTGGTGTTGGTGTGTATGTAAATTAGAAGAAGGATAAGTAGCCAAAGTATTGCATATGATACATAACAAAGATATTTTTTAAAAGTCTAAATTTAAATATCTTGAAATTAAGAAATTATTCTTTTATAAGTTTATTTTCAATTTTATCCTTTAAAATTGCAATACTATTGGAAATTGATTAAAAAGATGTTCAAAATTAATTATTCTACCAAATAAAATAAAATATATTATCTTTTTAAAAATATTTAATATAAAAGACTATAAAATATTAAAAATATTATGAATATTAATAGGATTTTTTTTTTTTTGAAAAAATCTTAATATAAGTTAGTGTAAATGCTTAGTATCATTGCCAAATGAATTGGAATACCTCACATTCTTTACTATCTTTTCTTATAGCAATAAGCAATGCCAAAATGTGACAATATTATTTAATGAATTAGACAAACTCACATCTTTGACTACATTTGATATAAAAGAGTGCTTGAGCTTGATATCATTATCAATTGAATTAGGCAAAGTCAAAAATAATTGCCTAATGAATTAAGCAACCTTACATCTCTAACTAAATTTAATATAGGTGGATCTTCAAGCTTGACAAAATTGCCAAATGAATTAGGCAACTTCACATCTTTGAATATCTTGAAATATGAAAGTATTCAAAGTTGATATTATTGTTAAATAAATTAGATAATCTCACATCTTTGAATACTTTTATATATGATAGTGCTCAAACTTGACAATATTACCAAATAAATTGGGCATCTACACATCTTTGACTATCTTTTGCTATAAAAAAAATTCAAAATCTTAATGTCGTTTTTAAATGATTTGTATAATTTGACAACTTTGACTAAGTTTGATATATGTGGAAACTCAAACTTGACATCATTCTTAAATGAATTAGTCAAATTCACATCTTTAACTCTCTTTTATATAAAAAAATTAGAAAGCTTGACAAAATTGCCAAATAAAATGGAAAATTTCACATCTTTGATTATCTTTATTCAAAGTAATTATAAAATCTTGACATTATTAGTAAATAAATTATGCAACTTTACATCTTTGACTAAGCTTAATATGTGTGGGTGTTTAAGCTTGAAAATATTT